ATGTACATATGAATGAGATAGGAGCAATAGAATAATGGAAATTAATTAGCCTTTTGGAGGTTACTCTGATACTGAGAAGTGACTTGTTGCAAGAAACTCATAATTCCGAAAAAAAAAAGTTTTGATTCAAATTAAAAAATTAAATCAGAATTAAATAATTTATGCATATGCACATACATATGTATGTATGTACTTAAATAAATAAAATATTAAATTACTTTGATACACTGAGATTAATTCAGGCGACGAACGCCGCCAAAAAGCCGGTTAAATATAACTATTGGTGAAGTTAAAACCCTTCAAAGATTCTTATATGTACACACTTACATACATATTATGTACATATGTATGTCATACATTTTGAAGAGCTCATTTCATGCCTGCTTATATATGTACATGTATATATACATTATGTATTTCCTAATTGGCACATTGCAGTACACGTTTATACATATGTATGTACACTCGCATACGTCATAAACAAAAAAAAAACGTGGCACATTTCTTCGCCCGCTTATGCCACATGTGGTGAGCAACAGGCAGTTGGAAAGTGTCAGCAGCAACAGCAACAGCAACAGCAAAGAGTAGACAGTGCCTTTTGCTCAAATTGGGAAAAGAGCGCAATACACTTAGTTTTGCACAGACACATACATATATGCATGCATACATACATGCATGTACATAAGTACCACCGTTTTGAGGTGACGTTCGGAAAAAACACTTTTTTTTGTTTTACAATTTGGAAAAAGCATTGCATTCAACAAGTTGTTGTAACATATACAAATATTTATATATAGTACATATGTATGTATGTACAAATAGTGAGTACTTGTATGTACATACTTGTACATATGTATGTAAGTGAATACCTATAATATTTGAAAGCAATTATGCGATACTAATTACAGCCTGAAATGCTTTGTCAAATAAGAAAATGTGTTTGTGTGCTTTATGACATTTCAAATATAATTGAATTCACAATATAAAAGGGGATGAAAATAAAAAGTTTTTTTTTTTAATAAAATATGTTAAAGAGCTCAATGCATTTTATTTATGTACATAAAAATATGCATACAAAAGTATATGGATCTAACCGCATTATTAAAAACAAACAAAAAACCGGAACTACATCCATACATATGTATGACTGTTTCTATCGATTTTAAACATAATTTTTAATTTTGAATCAATGAAAGCATATTTTTTTATTTATGTCATTTTACTTTTTCTTTTAAAATACAATAATTTTATTTTTTTGTCTTTTTATTTTAGTTTTTCTCTTTTTTCCAATTCATTGTTTTTTTCTTCTTTTTCTTTTGTTATATTTTTTTTATTTCACTTTTTAATTTTTTATTTTTTATATTTTACTTCTTTTTTTTGTATTTTATGTTTTACTTTTTCTTTACATTTTTTATTTTTACATTTTAATTTTTTACTTTTTATTTTTTTTTTTTTGGTTTTATACTTTTTTACTTTTTATTTTTTTTTTGGTTTTATACTTTTTTACTTTTTATTTTTTTTTTTTTGGTTTTATACTTTTTTATTTTTTATCTTTTTATTTTGTTTTATACTGCATTTTTTAGTTTTTATAATTTATATTTACTTTTTATATATTTAATTTTTTAAATTTTATTTTTTTATATTTTATCTCTTTTATATTTTTTTTATTTAATATATATATATTTTTTTATTTAATTTTTTTATATTTTACTTTTCACTTTTTAATTTTTTTTGTATTATATACTTTACTTTTCTTATATTTTATATTTCCTTTTTTACTTTTTAATTTTTTAATTTGTATCCTTTACTTTTCACTTTTAATTTTTTTCATTTTTTTATTTTTAATTTTTTTTTTGATTTTTTATTCTTTTTTTATTTTTATATTTCACTTTTTATTTCTTATTTTTTTGATTTATTAATTATATTCCTTTCTCCTATTTTTCTTTTCTTTTTTATTTTATTTTATTTCTTTTCTGTTTTTTTATTTATTTATTCCTTTATTTTTTTATTTTTGCTCTTACTATTTCTTTTACTTTTATTTTCTTTTTTCTCCTACTATTTCTTTTACTTTTCTTTTATTTTTTATTTTCTTACACTTTTTATTTATTTCTACTTTTTTTGTTTTATTTTTACTTAATTTTTGTTTTACTTTTTATTTTTGTTTTACTTTCTATTTCTATTTTATTTTTTATATTATTTTATTTTTATTTTATTTTTTATATTATTTTATTTTTATTTTATTTTTTATATTATTTTATTTTTATTTTATTTTTTATATTATTTTATTTTTATTTTTATTGAATTTTTATTTTATTTTACTTCCACTTTTATTTTTAACTTTTATTTTCTTTTTACCTTTTGCTTTTATTTAATTTTTTATTTTTACTTTTACTTATTTTTTTTAAATTTTATTAATTTTTTTTTTATACTTTTATTTTTTTTTTAATTTTATTCATTTTATTTTTTTTTTTACTTTTATTTTTCTTTTTAATTTTATTCATTTAATTTTTTTTTTACTTTAATATTTATTAATTTTTGTTTCAGTTGTGTATTTCTTATTTTATTATTATTTTACAAAAATATATATGATTTTATTGTATAAAAAAAGAGAAATTAACTTTTTATAATTTTTTAGAGGCGTACACATGCATACATAACTGACTACATACTTTTATATACATATGTATTTACATAAATATATTTATATTGATGTTTGTATATTCGTGTGGTTTGAAACACTTTCTCTCTAGCTGCCTTATCTCCAATTATACAAGCGACAACAACAACTTTTGTTATATGTGGGCACATATAAAAGAAGTATTTCCGTGGATATTTATTTATGTTACAGTGGTTACTTTCATGACAATGCAAATGAACTTTTATATATATTTTGTATGAATTACATTATGTTAAACATAGACATACATATGTACATTTGCATCTATATAAATACGTAGAGTTATTTCAGCACATACATATAATATATATACGAAGAGGAACATACATACATATGTATATCCATAGCTATATACAAATGTGCATGCCCACAGTTTAGTCATAAAACTTGACGCTTGCATCAGTTAAAAAATAAAATGCTTCATTGTGCGTAACGTCCTCTTTTGTATTTGTACATATATATATATGCATACATATGTACATACATATGTACATACATACATATGTACATACATACATACATTCATACATACAAAAACGCATACATAGATATAGACATACATACATATGTATATATGTACATATGAACATTCACTGATCATACAAAAATTTATGTATGCACGTATGTGTGCAATATGTAGAAAGAGCTGAGCTCAGTCAGAACCCTCGGTAATCGTTGAGGAAGCAAACTTAAGGCCTTTTATGAAACCAGCTGCAAACATGTTATTGTTCCATTCAATACTGCTCTTTTTGTTGTTGTGATAAGATCAATTGTTCTAAGTATTATGCTATTACAGTTTTCGATATAAATACTTTTTTTTTGTATGTATGTAATTGTAATTTTTATACCGGCCACTTAAATCGAGCCTGATGCATTTCTTTTATTTATATATACAGCTGCATGTGTTGGCACATACGTAGAATGAAAACCTCTATGTAAGTATTTAAAAAAAAAAATAAAATATATTAAAAAAAAAAATATTAACAAATAAATTATATTAAAAAAAAATTAAAAAAAAATGTAATAAAGGAAAAATTTAACCCTATTAGTTCTTTAATAGATAAAATTGTATTTATTTGTGTTTTATAAAAAAGTACATGCAATAAGTCTACTAAACAATCCAAATGCGCTGATAAGATATAAACTGCTAAGCTTTTAATGTTTTGATTGGCTTGAATTAATATTGAAATATACAATTAAGTCAATATTCGCTGTACGAGTAAAAATATATAAAATGATCAAAACTAAAAGTTTATAAACTTTACTTAGCCATTGTATATTCCTTCTTCATTATTATTATTTTGTTTTCTTACATCTTCACTTTAAATCGACGTATGGATGTACATGTTATTGTTTAAAACGAGTTTTATACAACTTGCACATAACGGTCTGCTAATTGCTTCAGGTCTTGTCTAACCAGCTAACTTAAGCTTATGTTCATAAGCACATTTGTACATACATACATATTTACTAAATTGTGGCAATGCCATAGATACAAAAATTTTTTGCCCAGCTTCCTTTGCATTTTAAAACTCGAATGTTCTTTTTTATCAAGATTTAATATTTTCATGTCATGCATTTAGAAAAAAACATCGAATGTCTAGCCGCCATTTGAAACCACGACCTTCAGTTCTCAGCATGCACTCGGCTACAAGCGCTAATTCTTTACCACTTGAAATCAATTACATATAAACTTGTAATAATAGAATTATTTTTATTATTTCAACATAGGCAACTTCATATTGTGCTGCTCTAGTTATTTTGTTGAAATCGAAAATTAAAAAATTCAACAGTTGTTGCAAAAGTAAAATAAAACCATATTATACGCTAACAAACTTGTAGTAATTTATCAATAAAGAAAACGATAGACGAGTTATATAAACATATGTATACATATGTACATATCTATGCAAGCCGTTTTAACGTCTATGCGTGTAGGTACTATTTTATTTTTTATAATGAGCTTATTCGCTTTGAGCATTGCCTTATTTGCAATTCAATGTTTAAGTATTCGTTCGTGGTTTCAATTCATTTCGGCACTTACGAGAGAAAATGCAAAAGTAAAAGTGATAACAGTTACACTTACACAATTAATTATCACATTCATTATTAAATGGACACATATGTATGTATATATATAAATGTATGTAGTTAATTAGAGATCTATACGTACGTGCGTACATACTTCTACATAGCTACTTAACATAAAAACTTAATTGGAAATAATATGTTCATCCCGCACAACAATAAATTAAAAACTTCTTATATCTTAATATGTACACATAATTCAAATATATTAAAATTCCATTTTGAGAGCACTCACCTATGCAAACGTTCCGTCTGTTCCGATTCATTCTCCAGCTCAATAATGTCAAACAACTCTTTCTCCCCGGAGCGCCCGAAAATTCCATTTGGTATTTTTCGTAAAAATTTTTTTAGCACACTGGCAATTGTATAAACAGAATAATTGTCTACATTCACTAAACGCCCTGATTGAAGGAAGTGTATAAGTTTTTTCATAGCACCCTGATGTCCAGGGGCGCGAAAGACATCTCGCCTATTTGGCGATTCCTTATTAAGTTTAAGTATAAGAACCAGTAGTGGTCCAGGAATGTTGTCGTTGTTTTTGCAAACCTCCTCAAGTGGTACACCAAATTTCACTTTCTCCAGCCGATATATATAGTCTGGCGCCGAAGTGCCGGGATGGCCGCATGAAGTGACAACACTGCTAATATCTGCTGCACGTCGCGCCCAGCTGGACATTTTTATTTTTGATATTTATAAATGCTTTGAGTTGATTTTCGCAGAAGTACTGCGATTTGTACGAGAAACTGTATTTTTTTACTTATCTATCAAAGTAAATAGTTGAGAATATTGCAACTGCAAACATCAATTTTTTTTATATTAATTAAACGCTTCGGCAGCTGTTATGCCACCCTGCCCGCCGTAATAACACCTTCCTATTTTCCTCTATACTTTTCTTCCACTTTTAAACAGCTGCACGTTCCACGTACCACACGTTCAAATCTTGTTTTTTATAACAATTTTCGCAGATTTCCCTTTTTCGTTCGCTTTCACTTTGAATAAAATTGTTCGTTTCGTATTTCTTCTTTGTAAACTTTTTTTATAGAAATAATTAACGCTTCGGTTACCACTCCCTTTATTATGATCAATTTATACTAATATGATAAACTATAACCAACGTTCATAACAATAAGCACTGCATTTGTGATACTAATTTATTAAATATCATTTACACGAACAATTCCATGCTGGAAAATTTTATAACACTATCATTTTTACTTCTCCAGCATTTCATGTTGCCACTCCTCTGTGAAAATTTTCTACATTTTCCTTTTCATCCGTTTCACTGTATTTTGTTCAGCCAATTCACACATGTCCCAACAGCGGAATAATGCTGATGTGATTATTAAAATTATGAGTGTTTTTACTTCGATACTTTCAACTCGAAATATAGGGTTTTCACTTCATTCAAATTAATTTAATTTATTATTACCCATATTTTTTTTAAGATTTTCTCTTTGCCTTTCGTCCCGTCATTGAAATCGTTATTGTTGCTTCGCCGCTGTGTACACGATAAATGAAATGAAATGGAAATTTCAGGGATGTATTATTGCCAATTGGGTTGGCTTTGGAAATTTCTATAACAGAGTTGCATTTTTCATAATTTTTTATCTGAATTGTACAGTTCAGTTTTTTATGAGCCAATATTTTCCTCATCCAATGAGATTCTAACTCACTTATGTACTTCTATAATGTCAAATAGATGAAAGCAAACGAAAATTGGTAATATACAAGATAGCCCTAGAATTTTAATAAAAGGTATAGACAAAGGATTGATGTACGAAATAATGAAATATTTAGGAAACGTTGATGTTAAATAAATCAAGGGAATTAATGATAGATGAGCTCATAAAATGCAACACTGAATTGAATGAAACGGAAGTAGAAATGTGAAAGAATGGCATTAATTCGTGTATACAGATTAGATGAAGTTTGCTCAAGCTTCTCCTATCGGAGTGCCAATTAACAGTAATTTCAAAGTATTTTGTAGAGACTAGATCCGGCCACTGATATTGCAAGGCCTGTGTATGATCGTTTTGCTCGTTACGAATTCCCGAATGTATCTATTTTTCGACGTTCTTAAGAGTGTGGAGTTTCTTTTGGGGCTATATGGCATATATTGCACTTTGACTGACACCGTCATCCATATAAAGTCCAGCTTGGACAACATTTGAGAGCGACACAGATTTGTTAATTGGTCTCCGATATCGTGCGATTCGACACCAACCGTATTTATGCGGACAAATCTTCGTCAAGTTATGGCTTAGATACCGTTCAATAAGTGCCAAAAAGCGATTGAAAATTAGCTTAAACAGATCGAAGTTTAGGGAAATTCGAAAGGAGGTCATTTGAATAATCTATTGTTTCATGTATTTACAATGCCAAAGTTCAAGTTTTATAACAATAATTAAATTTAATGATTAAATTATGTTAAATATATTTTATTTACGTTTATTTTCGAAATCACAAAATGGATAACTCATTACTACTATACTGACAAGTGATTTTTAAACCCGTAGGTTTCGAAATGTATGCATTTGAATGACCGTAATTTGTAATGTCAGAGCTTACCCTTAAAAATTTCGAAAACCATTTCAGAATTTTGAGTTCTAGTCGGTACTTTTCCTACTAGTAAAAAATCACCTTCGTTGTCTGAGCTAGAGATCCTCCCGATAGTAAAGCGAGAAAGATATTATATATAGATCATGTAACACTTTTCTCTCTCTTTTGTCCGAACCCGTCGTATAAGATCGTTTCCTGAACTTCTCGTTAAATGACCTCGACGAAATGGTCGAGCGTGACTTGAACAGCTTACGCACAAAAAGGCGTATAGGCCGGATTTACCGCCAGTCGACGATCTCCCAATTTAAGACCTCTAAAAATTCTAATGAGACGAGATTTGCTAGCCGTTACAACGTGAGATAGATCGATTGATAAATAAACAATTGGTTGACGACAAACGAGTCATAAAATATACTGCCTTCCGCAGGTGACAAAAGCCGATTTGGGTAATAGTTTTGCTGTTGCAACAATAAGTTATTGAAATACTAACCCTTCATAAATCATTATCAGAATCAAATTTCTCGAATTCCATGTTATCTATAATTCGGCATTTCCATTTTTGTTACATTTTTATTTATTATTTTAAGTTGTATTTTTCTGTATATAAAGAGCATGTGTGTGTTTTATGTGTATGTGTTTCGCCTTTGTTTATATTTTTTGTTGTAATTGTATCAATTAAATTTAATCAATATTCATAGAAATTACATTTAATAAAATAAAGATAGGAAATACTAAAATTATACTTAGAAATGGATGCTGTATTGTAGTCCTTGTCGATATTTCCTTCTTTCCTTCACAACACTTCATTCCTTTTGGATACAATCGTTTTTTTGTTTTGCTAGTTATTGTTTCCATTAACATACATATATATAGATAAATATATATATATATATAGATAGAGAATCCTTATGAAAATTGATCTCTATTTCAAATAGCGGATTAAAGTTTCTTATATTATTTAACTTTATGTTGTTCTGCAAGCGATGACATTTTTCCGGTTTTTTTTGCTTTTATCAACAGCCACTAAATGAATGATATCCGTATTCTATTATTCTTGTTTTTCTTAATGTGGGGGTAAGAGGAGAATCAGTAGGATGTTGTTTTATAGTTGATTTACATGCTTTCATTTTCGCTTTTTGTTTCTTTTTATTCAAATTTTCATTAACTTTATGTTTAAATCAAAAAGGTGTTTTTTCATTAATATATATATATATATTTATATGCGTGCATCTAGCGATTAGCATTCTTAAGTTGATTGGACAACCAATCGAGACCCTCATAGAGACCATCGCCGCTGGTTGCACACGTCGCTTGTATATACCAATTACGATTTCTGAGTGAGTGCAAACCGAGCTTGTCGGTAATTTCGGCTGCGTTCATTGCGTTTGGCAGATCCTAAAAAAAAAGAATTACGAAAATAAAAAATATAACTAATGTTTGTAATAATATTAATAGCTTTACTCAGAAAAGCTGGTCATAGGAAACGTTTCTTTTTATATACATATAAATGTGAGACACATTTTAAACTGTTACGTATGCTCTTATCAGTAAAATTTTATCTCAGTTATTTTGTAATAGTGTGCTTGAGTTTTTGATAATAAATATGTTGTCGAATTGTACATTCTACGACTAAGTATCTTCCAAATGGCATAAATGTAAAAAAGCGAAACAAAGCACAATGCCAGTAAAAGAAAAAAACAAAACTGCAATGTTCAATTTTCCAAAGAAGAAAAAATACTTATGACATTTCAATAAAATTACGAAATTTCTTAATTATAGATGAGAGCATATTCAAACACAAATAATTCAATAAATACCTGTTTGTTTGCGAATATTAATAATACAGCATCTCTGAGCTCGTCTTCGGCCAACATACGCATCAATTCCTCTCTCGCCTCACCAATACGTTCTCTGTCGTTGCTATCAACGACGAATATAAGACCCTGATACATAAAATATTAATAAATAAATTGCAAAATGAATGATATATATATATATATATATATATACATAATTAATATACATAACATTTCAAGAGTAAAATAGAACTTAATACAATAAATAAATACTCACTTGTGTATTTTGGAAGTAATGCCTCCATAATGGACGAATTTTATCTTGGCCGCCCACATCCCATACTGTAAAGCTAATATTCTTGTATTCTACAGTCTCAACATTGAAACCTAAGTAGGTACAAAAGAATTATTAAATGTAATTTCATATTACATTATAATATTAAATATTTGAACTAACCAATGGTAGGTATCGTTGTAACAATTTCACCTAATTTGAGTTTGTACAAGATTGTGGTTTTACCAGCGGCATCTAATCCGACCATCAATATTCTCATCTCCTTTTTACCAAAAAGTCCTTTAAAAAGATTTGCGAAAACGTTCCCCATTTTGATACAAGGTTTACGGTTGTAGTTCTAATTTATTTATATTATTGTACTCCGGAGCTTTGTTGCAGAGATTAAACAGTTTTATATCTATATATTTGCTCTATTGAAACTGATCGGAGGCGATCCGAGTCTGTATAGTTGGATTTCAAATTACGAACAATTCAGCTGTAAATATATGTATGATTGTAAAATTAAATATAAGTGTGTGTATGTATATACTGCATAATATAAAAAAATATATAAACAAAATAGATGCTGTTTCAATATTAGAGAGCCCTATATATATTTATGAAGTTAATTAACATTAAAATTAAAGGTAAATGTTTTTTTTTCAACGAATCCTGAAGATAAATCAGAGGATCTTAATGTATCTAAACCACTCTATAACTCTTCTATTATCGTGGCTTGAAACTAAGTTTTTGTTATTGTACTACTTGAACTTATAATATGGCAGTGATAAGAAATCTGGTCTCAGAAAACGCCTAATTGGAATTTATATGTGCTGCTTATGAAATAATGAAACTTATTATCAAAACTAACTAGAATTTATAACGAAAAACAAAATTTTCTGAAAACATACTAGCTTTTTTAAGACCTTTCCTTTAGATCACAAAGCACACGTTGCACATATGGGAAAGTTAGTTTCAAGTACGAATTGAATAAGCTGCTGCTTAAATAATACACTTTTTAATGTGTTAAAGAGAACGAAGAAGCAGAATGAGAAGAGGGAATGAAATTTGCGAGTGAGTCAGCAAAGCAGTTAGAAACTTCGGAATATTTTCTTACAATTATGTTATAAAATCTAAATAAGTAACTTAAGACTTATTATTTTAAACATATTAGTTTTAAAAATGAATATAGAATAATCTTTTTAGATGTGAACAAAATATCTTCATGGTTCTGCCTTGTCAGAGATTTTACTGCGTGACGTCGCTCTAAATAAGCCTTCAATTAAAATATCAATTCGCGAAGTGCTCCGAAGCTATTTATTACTCGATTCTCACCAGATTCCACTAAAATAATGATTTTCTTTAATCGAGATGCATACAATTTTTTTATTACCCGATTTTACTTTTTTCTTGCAGAACGGCCAAAGCACCACCCTACGTCAAATACGCGACGAAAACGAAAAGGAAAGGAAATAGAGAAACTCCAATAATGTCACGACGATTGAATGTACGTATTTCCGAAGAAAGGAGCAGAAAACATGAAATAGACCACGATAAACATTAATAACAAGAAAAAAAAAAGATAGTAACAATAGCAATAGCAAAGAGCGATAGCGATGCCGCCATTTCACCACATCACCAATAATGACCGAATATTTTTCAACATACTGCTTTACAAATCACCATTCGAACGGAGATAAAAGGTTAACAATACCAAACTGTGAAAATTATTGGATTTCACCGAAAACGCACCTTTAGAATCTCCATTTTTAATTTTTAATGGGGAAGTTCTCTAAAATCAGCCTCTTTAAAATAAATTTAATTTTTTTAAATAAAATTAAGAAAATTATTTCTTTTTTTTACAAATCTGAAGTGTACTACTTCGTACCGGAACTAATTCATGAAGAAGTGTGTTTGCTTTATATGAAAGTAACCACGATGCGATGGTAAAAACCGAAGAAATGACTGCGGTATAAAATGAGTGACGGGAATTGCTTCTATACCAAAAATTATGTACACATATACATATGTAATACACATATTATTTTCTTATAACTTTGTAAATTTAAGGTTCTTAATTAAAATTTGTTTTGGGTAAATTTTATTCATGCTTAAGCTAATATTTTCAAATATGTCTTTAAATTTAAACATTTGTACTTTAATAACTTTAGCATCACGCTTTTGTCCCATGAAGATACTAATAATTAAATGAAAAGGATAGCATGTTGATTTGAAATGAAAAAACATGGAGGTAATTTCACGAATATCAATTGCTATGCCTAAAGTTTTCAAACACAATTTCCAAATCAAATATCACTTATTCCCAACTTTTTTTAAAATATCCCTATACGCACCAATCAATAGAATTATGTTCACTCACTTAATTGCAGGAATTTTATTAATTTCTGCTTGGAAATGTCAGCGAAAATCACAGAGCAATAAACACACGAACACACCAATTCAAAGTACGCCTTCGACGTATAATTACTAATTCACCACAAATTTTTTGTCACCTCACACAGTGACGATATGCTGAAACGGTTATATGGTGCAAGTTGAGAATTGCTTTTTCCTTTCTCATATGGAGTATTAGAAGAAAGAGTGTGACTATTGTGTTAAATTAAATAAATTATTGATGCAATTGAAAATACGAAAAGTTGCCACGTCGTGTCTTGCCAATGTCGTATGTGATGGATGTGTGAAAGAGAACGCACTATTTCGTTGAGGAGCAATTGAGTTTTTGATGAAATGCCGTTATAGTAAAATGCAAACTTTTTAATAAAGTCCGAATCGAATTAAAATTTGGTTAATTTACATAATAATGGAATTAACCTGGTCAATGTTATTCACAATAAAATCTTGAATTGTAGATTTATTTAAGCGGTACAAATAAATATTACGATTTTTTGAGTAGTTGGGCAGCACTTAATATTTAAGTGTTTCACCTCATTTTTAACCTTTCTTTACTGTTTCCTTCGTGTCATTTTCTGCGGCAAAATAGCTGGTAAAATTATAAATAAATGTATCCAAAATCACCTTTCCTTCGGAATTCACTAGTTGAATCACAAATTCTTCGACGGAATGTAAGTTAAACCTATTTTTATAATATTTTATTTCCCCAAGAAACACTCGGTTGCAAACAATTTCAAGAATACTTGAGCTAAAACACCGCAAGATAGCAGATATACATGTACATCGTTCTCGCACATTGAAGAAGCAGTAAAAGAGATCACTACATAAATAAAAGGAGATAGGGTTATTTGATTGCCCGAGCTGCCAACATAATTTTTTCTGTTATACATAATTTTTCTCAGCCGGAAACGTATAACAAACAGTACGATATTTTCATATACACAATTTTCGAATTAGAAATTCAAACAAAATGAAACAATGCTGTTGCAGCAATTTGTTTTTTTTTGTTATTATTGTAGGATTAAGTTATTTCTAATTATAGCTTTAGGTTTTTAATAACTAAATGAAAAAAAAATAGTTTTGTCCAATTGCTCTTTTCTTTGTTCTTTATTGACACCGTTTGCGCGGTAACCAGGTCCTTATCTGATATTTCAAACAGAGGGAGGAGATTTTCTTTTTGCTCTACTATCAGATCACGAAGGTAATTTCTGTCGCTCCTCCATGGGTTTGTAAAATAGCAACAACTATTTAAACGGAAAAGTAGTCCCGAAGAGTTTACAACGAAAATTCTAAACCGTAAACCCCAACCCCGTTCTAAAAAATCGGTAATGCTTTGAGGTATGAGGGAAAATTTTTTAAAAATTTGAAATAGCTTATGAGGTCTTTGCGTATCTTGTGGTTTTTTTTTTTAGAATAACACAGCCCTTAGGAGCCCTATAAGACACAAGGTGTTAAACAATTAAATTTTTCACAGCCTTCGTCTTGCTATAATTTAAAATCCTTTCAAAAGATATGAAAGTGTCTGAAAGCTCTCTTTGTCTTCTGCATCATCTACAGATGCAGTCGAAGCTTACTTGCCTTGGATTTTAATCGCCTGCTCCGACAGACATGCCTTACCATAGGTAAATTCTTGAGCCTCTAACCCGCGGACGGTGGTTGATGCACTATCGTCATCGGCGGCTCAGTAAAATTAGTATAAAAAGAGCTTGGTACGACCTTGGCTTATCCTAACCTTTATCCAATTCATAACTTGTGGCTGAAATGTATTTCATAGGAAAGTTTTCATCGTAACTGGGCGGCCCCGGTAGGAGCTACTGACTACACAGTTTCCATAGTTGGAGGTGGTTCTTTCGATGAGCCCGGGGCACTGAGTGGCACTTGACTGACATTCCGATATACTCCAACTCAAATATAAAATTGTGCATAAGAAATTGTTTTGAGTGATCTTCTTTCTGAGTGATCTTCTACCCATTTTGACAATTTTACCGTTATATATATTATTATTCCAGGCTAATCAGCTGGAGGAATTAATGAATTGGCTATGTCGTCCGCCAACTATAACAACGTATCGCGTAAATACGCTGCGAATCTCTGTACCAGCGTTCAAACAGAAATTCCAACAAATATTGTTCGAAAAATATGCGAAACCACCTAAAGTGTACGAGATACCCAATATTCCCGAAGTAGTTTGCATACCACCCACGCCACTCAGCTTACTTGATCTGACAAAGAAGGAAACCGAACCACTGCGTGAGGTTGTGGTGGATGGCTGTTGTGGTGCCGCCCTATTGCGTGGGGCGCACATCTATGCACCGGGTGTGCTTGCTATGGAAGCCGGTACCAAATTAGGCGAGGAAGTGCTGGTGTATGCAGACTTGGCGGGTAAATGTAAACAAGGCACAAACACACGTTACGAGTCCGATGAGAAACTTTTCCTAGGTGTCGGTGTTGTACGCATGCAACGACATCAGATTTACGGACCTGCAGCTGTTGATAAGGCAGAGCCGTCTAAGGGAGTAGCTGTGGAGATGATCGCCACCACGTCCGGTGTACCCTCCATTGGGGATCTAAGCAGTAACGAAGCACTTCTGCAAAACCTACCGTCTATTGTATGCGTGCGTGTATTGAACCCACAACCGGGTGAACGTGTATTAGATATGTGCGCTGCACCAGGAAATAAAACAATGCATATGGTGGAAATGATGGGCGATCAGGGTGAAATAATAGCACTCGACAAGGTGGTTAATAAAATAACTACCCTGCAAGAAAAAATTACGGCAAACAGTTTAAAAAGTGTACGTTCCTATGCATTTGATGCTTCGAGAGTTTACGATGCAGCCAAAGTCCCAGAAGACAATGCATGTTTGGAGATGCCGCCATATGCTGCCAATACATTTGATAAAATCTTACTTGATGCACCTTGCAGCGCTTTGGGAAATAGGCCATTGCTAACGGTCTCACCACATATGTCAGCACGTATGCTCGACTCGTATCCGAAGGTTCAGCGAAAGTTATTTACGGCAGCGGTGCCCTTGCTAAAGCCAAATGGTGTCTTAGTTTACAGTACTTGTACAGTGACTGAGCAGGAAAATGAGGGAATCGTAGCGTGGGTGCTTGAGAAATTTCCACAAATGAAGCTAGTCGCTGCCACACCTCGTCTTGGCGGCAGTGGTCTTGCGTATAACGGTCTTAGTGATGTTGAGAGGTAAAGTGATACATATATATATAGAATCTAAGTTTCTTTTCATAAAGAATAATATTTCCTTCAAGGCAATACTTGCAAAGATTTTCTCACGACACAACAGAGGCGGAAGGAGTTCCCATTGATGCAGTCGGATTTTTTATAGCAAAGTTTATAAAGAAATATTAAAGTTATTTTTCTATTATGAGAACGTTCAAAATAGTGAAATTTAATCAAAATGGGTTAATGGGAAAAGTATAATTTTGCTTAGATTAACCCCGCAATCTGAGCTACAGACATACCCATTCGAAAAAAAATTCGATTTACTTGAAATTCGGTATGTAAGTGACCTTTTACCTAGAATAGTAAATAGGAAGACTACTCTTCTCTCCGGGATCTGGACCAGAGACCAACTTATTCGAAAAAATTTATTTACTTGAAATTCGGTACCAGATTGAACTGGATTTCTGTAATATCTACAGAATATCAAGGAGTATGAGGGCTTGAGAACCTGAACCAAATGGGGGTAATGCTCGAAAATTATACCAAAAGATTCGGCGACTTAAGGAAGGTTTCAAGATTGAAGCATACTTATGTGGGAATCATGGCGATAATCTGGGGGTCGATGTCCGAGCACACTTGGTGTATGGAGAGAACAGTTCTCCAGTCTGTTGTTGTTGTTTTTTAGCGGGGTTGCTTTTTTAAGAACAGACTGGTTAACCCAAACCATCGAGATCATTAAACGGGAGGTCCAGGAAACGGGCTTTTCGGCGAGAGGGCTAAATCTTGGAAAGGTACATCGAAAAAAAATCGATACATACCACCTCTTTGTTTATTTTACTGCAGCCTTACGCCGCTATGTCTGAATTTGGTATCCCCGCAAAACTTATACGGCTATGTAAGCTAAAGCTCCTTGAGCATCGGGAAGGACCTCTTCGAGCCGTTCGATACCAAACGAGCTTTCAGGGCGATATATCTCCTGCCATCAAACAAATAGGCACCGAATTCGCAACTCGGCTCCCACGTCATCAATGACAGCCATTGACAGGTTGTAGATGCGTTAGCTACCAGAAAATAGTGTCGAAAATTATCGAAGAAGGTAAGAAGACTTGTTGAAGGTTCCTACAGAACTCAACGAAATGATTTTGAGGTTTGCGTGTATGGAGAAAACAGAAAGGAATGAATATACGTGAGATATTCAATTGCTGCGATCCAGGAAACAAAGCTGACCGCCTTATCGGATACACATCATCTGCAAGGACCGCGAGCGAGACCATGGTAAAGGGTTAGCGCTCATACTTCACTTAGTCACATCAGACTGCATTCTGCTCCACCTACAACATCCGCTGCATCGGACGGCTCACCGACTTTGTTTCCGCAGATCACCGGACATTTGTCAACTTTAAAAAAGCTAACTGGTCCGGCTTCACAGAATTCACCGAGAGCGCCTTTAGTATTCTCCCCATTCCATCAGACGTCACTACTGGTGAACGTTTATTCCGCAGTGTCGTCGTGACCGCTGCCGCCCGCTTCACTCCGCCAGGCCGGGTTGTGGAAATCCGCCTATATTTTCCGACAGAAGCGGCGGTATTAGCATCGAGGCGCGACACCCTTCGAAGCTTCGATCCCGGGAATTCCCTAATCAGGGATTTAAGCGCGGAGATCTGCAGAGCAGTTAACCACCATAAGCGCAAAAAGTGGGAGAAACACTTGAGGACCTGCAACCTCTCCTCTGGGCAACGAAGCTCTGGCAAACCCGGCGAGACACGATGACCGGGTGGAAATTTCATTCCGTGATCGCGCCTCGTCGGACCCGAAAAGATGGGCGAGCTATTTTAGCCGACCTTCTCTCGCCATCTGCGTCCAGCAGCCCATCAGCATGGCTTCCGGAAAGTGCACAGTACCACAACAGCACTAAGCGTCATAAAAAGCCAGATAATCAATCTGTTCGAAAAAGAACTGCTACCTTGCCGGCTGTCTCTGCAGCCTTTCAAATTCTCGGCTACCTAGGCTTGAACTAGATATGAAGGAGTAAAGACAAGGAAACATTGCTGGGGTAAAGACAAGGAAAGTTTGCTGGCAACTTACAAAGCAATTGGCGGCCGGTCGTGAACTATGTCGCCGGAGCATCACATGCACAGTGAGGCATCTATGCTACGAGTTAATGAGCATAATACTTTGCTGTGAAAGCAGTTCCCATTGAGATGTTACCGCAGGGAGCACCTCAGTAGGCTCGAGCTGCCTCGAGAGACGCGCGTGACATTGGCACAACTTAGGTCCGCCTATTGTAGCAGGTTAAACTTCTACTTATCCAGACTCGACCCCAGCATATACAACGTATGCCCTGCATGCGGAGAGTCTTCGCACGACACTAACCATCTTTTCACATGTCCGACCGACTCATCTAACCCCCCTCTCCCTTTGGTCCAATCCCGTCGAAACAGCTAATTTCCTGGACCTCCCGTTAGATGACCTCGGCGACTTAGATTGGTGAAATCTGTACCTCAGTGGGGTTAGCGAACCGCTACTACAACAACACACGGCTAACCGACGAACATTAAACGCCATCATGAATTCTCCACCAGTCCACATGGCAAACGAAGAGCTCGAGTTCCCTGGGGAGTCCCGCGCAATATTGGCACAACTTAAATCTAAATATTGTAGTATATTAAACTCCTACTTGACCCGATCTATGCAACGTATGTCCTGCATGCAATGAGACCCCGCACGACACCCACCATCTTACCTGCAGCTATTGAATGCCAAAACCGGTTCGAAAGCCAACATTATCGCTATGAAGTCGAGTTCTAGCAGATATTATTTTACGAGTATTTTTTTATTATTAGTAAGCAATAACAACTTGGCCCCGTTAAAGAAAATATTTGGCAGATAATTTTTTTTTTCAAAATTAAGAGTTTATTTTAATGAGTGGTGATACTAAGGATTTCTTTACATTTATTCGTACATAGCGAAACATTTTCATTAATAATCATTGAAAATGTTAATCATTATAGATACAATCTATGAAGGTTGAGCATTTCGCATACAAATCTCCACAAAGCCGAAGTACATACATATTATATGTGCGCATGTTGTTAAATAACACAAAATACATACATTTTTGGAAGCGAAACATTTTTAATGAATTAAATCCAATTGATGTCTTTTCAAAAAGTTCTTAAAACAGATATTAAAACAAACTTTTAAATTGTAACGGCTTTTTGTAAAGTAAATGCATGCTTCCCGCTACAGTTCTTTCCTTCATACATACTTCAATATGTATTTAGCAGTAAATATTAAAACTAACTTTAATAATCTACCTTACGGTTCGCTAAAGCAAGCATACAGACAAGAATAGTTACTGGTAAAACATTAATGCCTGCCTAATACGGGACAATTGATTTAAAACTTATTTCAGAGTTTTCGACCAATTTGACGTCAGGCTACTTTGCTCAGTTTATGCATACAAAATTAATCAAGACATTCTATTCAGCTGTATTCATTTTACGCGGCGATGTTTAGTGCTTTAAATTCATCATCATGCATCTCAGTCATCATATAAGTACCATCTTGCAACAACAATACAACACGCCGTGTACCACCTGCAAATAAAAAATATGCAATTAAATATATTTCCATTTATATGATTTGTGTTGTCAAGCCTTACCTGGTGATGGCATGCCAGCTTGTATGACTTCAGCAGGTATATTCGCTTCCTGTCCGTCAGCGCCGTCAGATGTCTGTATGCAAAGTTGTCCGGTGGCGCCACCACTATTGGCGGCCACAGCAACGGCTGCGCTGCCTGCATCCGCTTGCTGCTGTTGTTGCTGCTGCGCTGCAGCCAATGCCTGATGCTGTTGCAACTCGGCCTCGCTCATTGTAACAACGTGTGTAGTGCCGTCTTCTTTTGTTGTTTTAACAATATATTGTGGCTCTGACATGGCTTCGGATTGTTGTAGTTCATTTGAATTCTGTGCTACAGCCTCAGCAACAGCATTGTCAAGGGTTAACACTTGATTCTCATCACCTTCGGCGGCAGCAACATATGCGAACTGTTGCTCGCCATCCGGACCCTGAGTCACGAGTATGGTTTGTCCCTCAGCATTCTTGCCGGCCACCTGGTACACAGTGCCATCCTCGCCTGTTACCAGCAATGGCGTACCATCCTCATTGGTGAGCATTTGTTGGTCATTAGTTAGCAGCAGTGTGGGATCTATGTCGTGCAATTGTTGTTGATGATGATCCTGTTGTAGCGCCAATTGCTGATCGCCGCCAGCAATCAGTTGTGTGTGCATTACACCGCTTTGCATTTGTTGCTGTGTTATGACTTGGTCATCTTGACCTAATATTTTACCTTTTTTTTGCAAAGTTTAAAGCAAATTTGTAAATTTAGAAATAAATAAGAAAATAAATATTATATTAATGTGCATACCTGTAATGGGACATAATTGTGCCTGATGTTGCTCCTCATGAGCATATGTACCGTCTGGTTGTTTACGAACGCTAACGGCACTTACTTGGCTAGTGCGTCCACCACCGGTGGGTGGTGTGATTTGCTGCACCTTTTGAATCTGGATTTGTGACTGTTGTTGCCTAAGGCTATTGCGCTGTGCAATGGCATCTTCGCGGGTCATCACCTTCTTGGTCACCTTTAGATCACCCGATTTGGAAAGTTGAAGTATCTTCTGTTCAGGTGTAACTGTTTTTGTATTGTTGGCTGTTGTTCGATTCAAATGACCGGCGTTGCCTTGTCGCGGTATTATCATACGTCCGGAAGTTGGTGATGCGTGTTGTTGATTCGATGAACTGGTTGTTATACCGCCAGTCCGCACATGCATTGCATTTCCACTACGTTGTTGCGTTGTGTTAGAAGTCATAACGGTTTTCCGTTGCAGAGTGGTGCCGCCCGGTGTACGTTGAACATGTTGCTGGCGCGATATTGTATTAATTTGAGTATTGGCTATGGTGGTTGTGCCACCACCTGCTACGCGTACTTGTGTTCGTCCCACAGTAATGGATGATGATTGCGATTTCGTTTCACTGCCACTGTCATTACCACCACCAACACGAACTATACCAGTGCTGGATACCGCCGATTCTCCCTTTGATAGTATTCGAATTTGAGCTTCCGTTTTTGATGTAGTCTATAAAGAGAAACGACGTTTTTTAATATTTGTGTAAATAAAAGGATTTTTTTAAATGATAAATTTCAGTATCTCACGTTGTCCAAACTATAATAAAAATATACTTGTTTTATTACATATTTTCGATTTGCGAACTGAAGGTGTTAAGTCAAATTAATATATTTTTGCTGACATATTTTTTTTTTATTCTGAAACTTATAAAAACTACGTATCATCAAAATATGTTTAACATTTTAGTTTATTAAGCAACTTAAAAGTAAATTCTTACAATATATGCATATAGAACCCAAAGTAAATTAAGGCAGAATTTAAGCAGCCATACATTTTTCTTTTGAAATCAACTTGATTCAATGAGAGTCAAAATATTATACATATAAAAGTGCTATTTTTGGCAAAGAATTTAAATTATATTTTATATATTTCGGAAATCTATCGTTTGCCAGCTTTTGAACTTACATTGCGGGTATTGCCATTGAAACCAGGTTTCTTTACCACACCGGAAGCATTTGTATCTTGCGTTATAATAACTTCAGCTGAATTCGGTCCTACTGGCAATGACTCACCGCTGATTGAAGTGGGTGTGCGTGTATTGCTTGTTCCATTTACCTTGACCACTTTGGACTATGGATAAAATATATATATATATATATTAAATTGCGTTCTATTCTACGGATTATTTGTAACTCAAATTCTTTACCTCAATTGAAATTGCGCTGCCGTTTTTCATACGTTTTACTGTGTGTGATGGTATAAGATCCTCCTCCAAATCTTCAATTGTTGCTGTGGTACTAGGTAAATCACTTGCATTTGAATCATTAAAATCTGAATCCTCCAATTTACGCTTCAAACCACCCATACCCGCTGCTGAGCTATTGCTCGTATGCATAGACCAATCTCTTTCCCCATCTTGTGAATTGTTTCCTCCTTCAGCGACATCACTACCATTAGGTGAACCCGCGCGTGATGAATTCTGATTACTTCCCGATACCCATTGCTTCACCTGATCCATTGCTTTAGTTTTAGATGTACGCGAAGGTCTTGTTGATATATCTGATGCCGCAATAGATTTGTTACTATCATTGTTGCTACTGCTAACTGTTTGTAATTTTCCTAAACCAGTTACAGGTTTATTCGTTTCAATTTTCTTTATATCCACTGATTTGTTATCAGCAGTTTTACCTGCAGCTGCTAATTGAGCTGCTTGTTTGGCTTGCAAAGCAGCACGGGTCTCCTTTTGCCGCGCCAATTGAGTTTCAAAGGTTTCTAAAAGATGAGGAACGTTTTCCAAGTGTGACGATGGTTCCCAAGTATTTTGTTCATGTGTACGTGCCTCCCATTTAACCAAATATTCGTGCATTTTTCGTCTTGGGTTAAACCGTTTAGCCACAATTTTTTCTACATTTTCTTCAATTACCTCGTCTGAATTAGGCACGGTGCGCTTGGCGCGACGGCTGTGTAAAAGTTGGATTTATATAATTTTGTAAAATTAATATGAGTATTTACTCAACAAACCTTAGAGGTTTTCCTGAATTTACGGTGGGCAATTTATTTTGCGTAACACCCACCGCATCACTGCGTACGGATATTGGTTTTTTGATAATTTTCTGTGCAGGTGTGCTTAACTTATGAGCAGTATCATTTTCAACGTCTTTATTTCCATCAATTTTTGTGGGCGGTTTCAAGTTAGCTACTTGAGGTTTGGTTTGGGTTAACAGTTCTAAATGCGTACAAATTAATTGATTTATAGCGTAATAAAATACAAATCACATTTATCACTTACTTCTGCTTGGTGAAATAGATTCGTTGGTATTGTTAACCACTGTTTTAGTTATTTTCACAGGCATTTCTTGGAGACCACCATGAGCAATTTTAGCAAAAGATTGTATAGTTTTGCCTGCAACGATCCATGTATCTCGTAAGCTTTCGTCCATTTTAACCCAGGTTTGATACAGAGCCCAAGAGTTAGGAGTGGCTGTATTTGAGTCTTTATTATTATTTAGTTGTGTTGCTTTCCATAGTAAAAAGGCCCATATCTTCGGCTTGGTATCATTACATTCACGCACATTGTTGTTTTCCTTGTGACAAGGTTTCTGCTTGTGATCATCAAAATCTTCGATAAAGTGGTAGACATTAAGACAACGGCCACACACCAGTACATCCATTGTGGCCATTTCATCTTGTGCCGCTGGAAATTGTCATTAAGCAGCATTATATCAGAACTTTTTGTATAGAACATTGAGTACAAACTTACCTTGAATTAATTTGGCGTGCTTGCCAATATCCGTAGGAGTAATATCGCATCCAACCATTGCGAAATATTAATGTTCTAACAATACCTGCAAAAATGTCAACATTGTAAATTTTCACTAAATAAATTTTAAGCAATTAACGAAAATGAAATTTATACAGTTTTTTTTGCAGTGAATATACAAACAGAGAATTTATTATCGAGTTTGTGCAACGCCGGCATATTTCACCAACTGATTTGCGCCAAATAAGGTGGATGAATATTGGGGCACGAAAATTTAGTCAAAACAAGAAATTTATTTTTTAACATTGAATTAAATGATTTTATATTATAAACGTAATGCACTTAAATACTTTTTATCGTTGCGTAGTTAAATATTTTAACTTTTTATTTTCTGATGAAAATTTCTATGTGGAAATTCAGAATTCCTACACTCCTCACTTGATTTAAAGCACATAAAAACCAATACACTTTTCTCTATACGAATTCTGGCAAAAAAAAATATGATTTTAAAGTTAATTTGCACAATTTTTTTTAATATTTCTGCTATAAACAATTAAACGTACCAAAATTTTCTTTTCGATGCTATTGCTGCGTCCAAACGAAATGTAAAATAAGCAAACGCAAGATTTTTCCGTTCGTTTGCAAAGCGTAGCACTCACCATCACTGCGATTGACCAATCAAAATGGCGGATGCAGCAGTGTAAGAAATTTTGTAATGAACGAGCGGAGCATGGTAACTCTAACATTTTTCTAAAAATTATTGAGTATTAAAAAATTCGATTACTGAATTGTTAAATAAAAATCACAAGATTTTCTGTACATTTTTTTATGCGAAAAAATATTACTCGACTTTTACTTATTTGTCTTCTAGTGGAAAACTAAAACACATTCTAGAGCATGAGCATCCAATATAATTTATATAGTAAGAGCATGGGAGAAACTTCTGGAACTGAACACGAGCAATTTATGAGGCATATAAGAGAGCGACCAACGCTAAGATGGACAGTTACTATGTAAAGAAAAGTCGTCGGTGAATAAATTTTTGCACCAATTAATATAGTAGAGTGTGAAAATTATGAGCCAAATCATTGTGTATAGTAGAGAACACTATAATTTCTTGAGTAATAAATAAATGTTGATTGAATTCTTTACAATTAAGAAATTTTACAACAAATTTGTTGATTTTTATTTAACAATCCAGTGAAGCCACCTTGAAGCTTGAAATTACCAGTCGACGGGGGACAGTAATGGGTAAATTATATAACAATGTTGAAAAAAGTTTGTTCAGTTAAAAAATTCTACTGGTTTTGTGATACTGCAACGATTAATGAGCAAGACTTTAAAATTTTCCGTTCTTTTGCGCCAAATGTGGCCATGAAACCACTCTACCATTAATTTTTGTCAATGAGAGGTTTTCTTCAAGTGGCAACTCGGTATCTTACCCGGCAAAGTAAACAGCAGTTTAGCTATTTATTATTATCAAATTACTTTAATTCTTGTGATTTTTTAACAACCTCTATATATTACAAGTTTTCCAAAAATAATGGCTGATATAGATGGAGAAGACCCAAAAGAGTATCGCTGGGAAACCGGTTACGAAAAAACATGGTAACAAAGAATATGTTTTAATGAAATGGCTTAGCAATATATTGGATTTTTATGTTATAGGGAAGCTATAAAGGAAGATGATGATGGTCTACTTGATGGGGCCATTGCGGAAATTATACAAAAGGCCAAACGAAAGCGGCAGGCCCAAAAAACACAGCAGAACCGCTTGGGAATGATGAGGCACTTGTATGTTGTACTTGATTGTTCAGAATCAATGACTGTTCCGGATTTGAAGCCTACCCGAATGTTGTGCACAATAAAAGTATATAACTTTTGAACGCATGGTATATATTTTTATGTAATTTGCTTACAGCTGCTGGAATTGTTTATAGAAGAATTTTTTGATCAGAATCCCATCAGCCAATTAGGTTTAATAGTCTTGAAAGGCAAACGTGCTGAAAAGCTCACTGAACTAACTGGTACATCGAAGTTACACTTGAAAGAATTGGAAGGGTAATTATTTTTTTTTTTTATATATAATTATTTTAAGTCATACCATTAAATGGCTCTTTTTCTTATTGGCAAATTTTATTCATCTAGCCTTAGTAAGATACCACTAACTAGCGAACCTTCTTTGCAAAATGGACTCGACTTGGCGATGAAGGCGTTAAAAGTTGTGCCAAGTCACGCTTCGCGGGAAATACTCATAATTATGGGATCCTTAACCACTTGCGATCCTGTTGATATTAACACTACAATTGACGCTCTTAAAGCAGATAACATACGCTGCTCGGTCATATCGCTTTCTGCTGAAATACATGTTTGTCGACATTTAACGCAACAAACTCAAGGCTCCTACGGCGCTGTACTAGATGACGCTCATTATCGTGATCAATTGCTAGCCCACGTTGATCCGCCACCAGCGGCGCAAACGCAAGAAAATTCTTTAATAAAAATGGGTTTCCCGCATGCTAAGACCGATGGTGGCAAAGATCCACCACTTTCCATGTGTATGTGCCATATTGAAAATACAGAAGAACCCAGCAAGCTCACATCTGGTGGCTATCATTGCCCACAATGCTATAGTAAATATTGTGAGTTACCAGTGGAATGCCAAACCTGTGGATTGACTTTAGTATCGGCACCCCATTTGGCTCGTTCCTATCATCATTTATTTCCTGTACAGCATTTTACAGAACTGGAATTTAATGGACAAGCGGCGAATTGTTATGCGTGTCAGAAACCTTTAACCGAAGCAACAGATAAACATGTTTATCGGTGTGAGAAGTGTTCGCAAGTCTATTGCATTGATTGCGATATATTTATTCATGAGACCCTGCACACATGCGTCGGCTGTAATACAGGAAATCCAAATGAAAAGAAATAATGTTGCTACAACAAACAAAGTAGTTTATATGCATAGTACATATGTATCATTATTTGTATTAAATTTTAATTGAGTTTGAAATACATATTTTTGCGAATTCCAAATTCAATCTCCCTACGGCCTTATGTATTGTAGTTTTAGTTTCATACCAATATCTAAAGTAAATTTTTCCTTTAAATTCTATACCGCTTGTGTGGACACCTTTATGCGATACGTTTTAGGATTCTGACTGCAAATTAAGTTGTGATTGTAAAAGATACTGTTATTATTTCATTGTATTTTTTTCGAACAGAAAAATATTGTTGCCGTAAGTCCTCTTTTTCTTTTAACAAAAATCAATGTTTCCAAATAAGATGACAGAAATCAGTTAGTTTAAATAATCCAGCTGTTAATTTCAAAATTTTCTTTTATTTTTTTTTATTTGAAATGAAATTGCAAATGCTAATTTAATTAGTAAATTGATCAAACACACATATAACCGCGGTGAAAGTAAGCGGAAGTGAGCAGATTTTGGAGCTGCTAAAATTGAAAAAAAAAATTCTCACTTAGTTATGAATAAATATATTAATTAAAGCCAATTTTAGCCTGCATATGCATTTGTAATTTGAGTCCGCTGTATTTGGAATTACAAATTTTTGCGTATATCGTTCACAGCTTCGTTTTTTAATTAAAAAGTGCTAATAATTAATATTTAATATTTTTCAATATATTATTAAAACTAAAAAAAAAGTGGTGGACAATAATAACTTAAATTTCGCTAATTATCTGATCTTTATATACTCATATATATCAATATATACATTCCAAAGCATATTTATGCCTACAATGCGTGTGGTGAATATAAAAAAATAAAGAATATTTTTTTATTTATTTAAAGAAATTAATAAATAACATTGATGCAACAAAAATTCAAAAATTTTTTAAATTGGTTTAAAAGGTAAAGTTCGACATCGTTAGACTCTGAAAGATGGCATGACAAGAAAATTCACCACTCCTAAAAAATTACTTCATAAATCCCCAAAGCGAACTTACTTAAACTCAATATCAGTGTTGTTCTGATCGAAATAGCAATTGAATCCGATTGGAATTGGATCATCTGAAATTCTATCAGATTTAATATATCAGAATAAAATTTAAAGAATTTAATTTGTTTTTAGATTCACTGATCATTCGTAGCGAAATGAATTAAAATCGAATGCCCGAAAAGCTGAAGGTTGAACTTTAAAGGAGTCCCTGGCTGGTTAAAAATACGACTTGTTCCGGTATAAAGACTATTACATTTCAGTCGTCTCTTGTTGTTGTTGTAACCGCAAAAATATTTTCCAAAGTACTTTTTGGGAAATGTTGCTGGAGTGACAGTCTTTGGTCGGATAAAAATCCGGGTCGTTCCGGTATGAAGACCCGACTGTCGCGGGAACTATTGGATTTTAGTCGCCTCTTACGACAGGCATGCCTTACCGCGGGTAAATTCTTGAGCCCCTAACACGCAGCTATTAGGTAATTGGAAGCAATTTGTATTTTCTAGTTCGGATATTATAATCATATATGATATTATTTGCTCACAGACTTACTACTAGACAAACCCGAAAGGGCCAAATAGTATCTACTTACGCCAGTTGGACGCATTAATGGTATTAATTTCGCTATAAATTCGTCCAGAGATGCCCCATAATTGGTAAATTTTACAGCTTTTCTTTGGCAAATACACTCCTAGGGCCGAAAACCCAGATTATGTAAATGTTGAGTTGACCTACCAGCGAGCTTAGAACCTTCCTACAATAGTTGACGACGTTGGTTGTTGTTGTTGTCGTTGTTGTAATCGTTAAATTATTCCACAAAGTAGTTTTTGATGATTGTTGCGGGAGTGACATTCCTTGACCTTTTGTCGCATGCCTTACCGCGGTACCCGTGCAACGAGCTGTTTCGAGGGGTTAGGACCAGAGGAAAAGGAGTTAGATGATTTGGTTTAACGGGGCATGCAAGCACTTACATTGAGCATGTCGGGGTCATGTCTGGATAGGAAGGAGTTTAGTCGATTCAGATCCTAAATTCGCCAGTATTACGCGATATCTGCAATGCTTTTTTGACCTAACCCATCCCTAATCCTGTTTAAGTCAAAAGGTTGGCACGTTGCTATTTACCATTGGTGAGTATCGGTTTTAGACGTCTACGTGAGAGCGAAGGCAATAGTAAACGATGGAACGATGGGCTGTCTAAGATATACGATGACCTTGTCTCTATTTGGCATAAAATTGGAACAATCGATTTTCACATTCTTCTCTTGAGCTCAAATCTTCACCAGCATAACCATTCGTCAGAGGCAGGAACCGATGGTAATCACTTGGTGCAAAGCCCGTACTATAAGATGGTGATTAGTCTCACGTTGTACTGATGAAATACAAATCTCTTCCTATTGACCTAATCTGGGCGCTTCTGGGCATACTTTAGATGGTTTAATTACTGACAATACAGGTTCGAAATAAGAGTTTGGCCCTAGGGGAGCAGCTTATAGCGTATGATTCTTTCCCAATTCCTCCAAACATGAAAAAAAAATTCCTGGTCGTCAATCCTGGCTTGAAGCCCATTTGTGCTGGCTGACTGTCCTTCGATCACAACTGTTTTCGCTTGACGCTGCTGTAAGTGATCCACTTTTCATCATCCGCTTCCCAGGTTTATTTTGATTTTCATTGGATTTTTCATGTGGTGGGTCCCAAACTCTACGCACAACCGCATGGCATTCGCCTTCTCACTTTAGCTCGCCTCCAAACGGGTGTTTGTTGGCTACTCAGGGGATACTAAGTTTAAGACCGGAAGTCGTGAGCTGCTTGAATCATATGCAAAAGAATCGTTTCTGGCCACTCCCAGAAGAGTGACAGTGCAAAACTTTCCTCACTTGCATAAACTTCTGCACATAGCCCCATCCTCCATGATGGTATTGACATAGTTCAACAAACGATTGACGAGGCAACGGCTACGCTAACTAGGTCATATCATCCGAATGGATAAGTATACTCCAGCTTCGAAAGTATTCGTAGCAGTACCCGTTGGTGGAAGCAGAGGAAGAGGACGACCTCCACTCCGTTGGAAGGTTCAGGTGGAGATGGACTCGGCTTCACTTAGTATTTCCAACTGTCACCAAGCAGCGAAAAGAAGAGATGAATGGAGGGCTATAATTGATTCGGTTATAATCACGTAAGCGGTGCCAACGCCAGTAAAGGAGAAGAAAAAGAAGAATAATAAGAAGAAGAACCATCCGCTTCAGATATAGGTCGATTTTGTTATGTTTCAACAGCGATTCGATGATGGAAATTCTATTCTATATTAACAAGTTGTTATCGAGGACAATCTGTTTTTATATCTAGGATTCCCTTCATTCCACGAACAAAGCTCAGCGTCAAACTCTTAAAGCAGCAAGAGTACATGTGGGATAAAGCTGCTTCTCTCATGGTAATTTGTTGATTGAATGCTCCAGAGTAGGCTCAAAGAGTGCATTTAGTACCCCAACCGAAAAACCAGTTTAGCTTTCATTATTTTCAAGTTCACTGAAGTCTTAACTCTCTAAAATATAAAAATTATTATATTCAAATATAAAAATTTATGTATTACTGTAGTTTAAATATCTTAAAAAACCAATTTAAATGCATTTTCGAATTCCAGCGAACAAAGTCGCGGGTAAAATTTATCTTTTTTGTAACGCCATCTACCGCAATCCAATAACTCTTATAGAGCGAGAGATACATATCACTAAAGCCATTTATTGCAAAAATAATGGATTACTTTTCACTAGACCGGGCAATATACTGCACTTGCTTCTGAATAAATACAAATAAAAGAAAATTACTTTATTAAATTTAATATAATAGTTTAAAGTTTTACTATTAATTTAATAATTTTATTTTTTAGACCAGTTTTTTAGCGTAAAAAATAATAATATAAATATGTCTCTCGAGTACTTTTTACATATATATTATCATTATTGTTTTATTTTATTTTTTTGCCGCATTTTTCTCGTCGAACATTTTTTTCTCCATTTCCACCTCTTCATTTTTATACTCGTAGCTGCGTGCATTTACATCACACATTCTCTCTTCCATACATATAATGTTTGCTAATTTTAAAACCTTTTTCGTCTATTCTACAGTTAATTAGCTCTGGTCGGCTTGTATGCACGTCTGTTATTTTTATACATTTAACTAGTTAAATTCCATGGATTTGCTTGCGTTTTTGCATATTCACTAATCGTGATTTATTTTTTATTCTGTTTTAAATGATTTTTTATTTTATACCAGAAGTGCCGTTTACATATTTTTGGATAATTTTATAAATATTGATGTTTATGCAAGTGTGCGTTGTAATTTTATTAGTTGAAATTTTTAAAATTGAAAAATTATAAAATTTTACTTCTTGAAACGTCGGAAAATTAACGCGCAAGTTATTGAAATTTAATGAAAAGGGGAGGGATTTAAAACAAACTAAGCGTGTGAGGAATAAAACACATAGAATTTTTTGTGAAAAGGTAAGTGTACAAGAAATTGAAGTGAAATTTTCTTAAAGGGTTTTTATACAAATTTTTAATACCCCCGATTTGCGTTATGCAAAGAAGTCTTCGAAATAGTAAAATTTATTTTTAAGTTAAGTATAAGTTCTAATATATATGGATATTATATACGAGTATACTCTGTTTGTTTGTAAAATTAAATTTTTTTTGTTTATATATTCTTCTACAACGATTTCATCACCTTCAAAATAGTCCCCTGCCATTGCAATGCACTTATGCCAACGCTTTTTCCAATTATCGAAGCACGTCAAATAGTCACGTTCTGACAAGGCCTTCAGAGAGCGCGCCGATTCACGTTTAATCTCCTCAATCGACTCTTTTTTTGTTTTTGGCAGAGCCAGAAGTCACATGGTGCTAAGTCCGGCGAATGCGGTAGTTGGGGAACGAGATATTCGTGGAATTTTTACCGAATTTTTAGTAAGCTCAAGCGTAACTAAAAAAAAGAATTAACCCGAAATATTAAACACGCGAAGCTCAAATTAAAAATTCCCCTTAATTTTTGCTCACAGAGTATACAGGGTGCGCCATCTGGATGTATCCCATTTCAGCATTGAATAACTCC